TAGTCAAGAAAAGGCTTCTCTACGCTTCGGTGAATCACCGCATTTAAATTATTAATGTACCTAATCTCGCACCGACCAATGTCCATCAGCGCTGCCTGACCATCTCATTTGCATGTATAATAGGTAACCCTCGTTTAATTAAGCTTAGCTTTGCAGCCATATCATTGTCCATCTTAAATTTGCTTAAACGGCGCACATGAAAACAATCCTTGACCACTTATGAGTTAACGGTTGAGTTCACAGCCAATATCAATAAAAACGATAATTAAAAAAAATTTATAGGGATCGGGAGTTGATTTCTACTGAAAGCGGGTACGAAGCGCCACTGACAATAAAATTTTCTTTATTCACATTTACTAATTGTGAATTTTCACAGTTAACATCTATGAATGTTATAATTCACACTTAGCAACTGTAAATTTACAATTAGTAACTGTAAATTCACAGTTAACATCTATGACTTTTATAATTCACACTTAGCAACTGTAAATTTACAATTAGTAACTGTAAATTCACAGTTAACATCAAAGAATTTTATAATTCCCATGTAGTAATTGTGAAATTTTAGTAATAGGCTGTTGATTAGTAAACTTGGAAGTGTAGTTGATGTGAGAGAAGTGATTTATAAATTAAGGTTTTTATTGCATGTATACTGTTCTGCAGTTGTGCTTCATTGTGTAGAAAATGGCAGATTATTTAGAAGTAAGTATTGAATGAAATATTTTCATCTATTTAAATTAAATAAAAATCGTAGTAGCAAACAGTGAAAATTCAATGTTATGTATTTATTAAAATATGCTGTTCACGCTTATTTAGTTATTACTTTACATCCCGAATGCCGTATGCATATATATTCTGATCATGAGATTGTGTACAGCTTTGTGTTGTGTGATACAAATATACCTATGTGTCGGATGCTAAAAATTAACAAATTTATTAAATTATTATTTTTAAGGTAAAAAGCGATATGGATATGTCGTTAGAAGACTTCATGAAATCCAGAGGCATTCCTTTCGAAACGTTGGAGTATATGAAGAATGAAAAGGTGAGTTAAGTATAGGCATATTCAATAAAACTATATCGGTCGCGCTATAAATGACATTTGATTTACTACTATTTAATGCCTTATGTTACATTGCTCAGCTAATACGGACTATAGGTATCACTTTCACTATAATCCCACCTAAATTTGCGTACCTTTCATCATGCGCTCAAATGCGTCGTAAACAAAAATCTTTGCGCTATTATAGTTTTTTACAAACACTTTGGAGTATACAGTGTCCAAGATAATGAATAATGATGTCTATCATGGGAATCTCGGAATCTGGTCAAACTAGCGAAAAGTTGCGCAATGAAAGAGTTATTATCACGCTTTAAAGTAAACCAGAAAATGCCGATTACTTTCGAAGATATGCCAGAAAACAGAAATTTGTGCCGATTTGGTTTTAATTTTTTGATGTTACATATTTGAACAGGTACAAAAAATAAGAAACACTTTCTCGTGGCCACTTTTTGAGCTCTACAAGACACCGTTGAAAGCTTTTCTATACAACGTTTAGTTTCAGAGAAATCATCAACTTTACAAATAAATTTCCTGGAAAATGAAACAAGTGTCAGATAGGTATTTTCGACCAATTAGGGCGTTGTGCGCGGGTACGGATGTAATTAGAAGGTTCTGGTTATCTTTAAAGTATGATAATAGCTCTTTAATTACCATTTCTTTTATGGTTTCGGAGATCCTCTGCTCGTTTTCTTGGACACAGTATATATGGATATGGGGTGATGTTATGTTCTAATTATGCGCTTAGTTGTGCAACTTTAACTTGGTTTTAGTTTCTTTATTTTTAAAATCGACAGATACTTAGAACTCAAAAGTTGCAGTGTTGCCCTTCAGTGGGTTGAAATTATACCCCCATATACCTAATAAATTATTCCTTGTTGCTTGTATGTATAATAGTAAATATTGAACAATAATGATAGGAGGGTAACACATTTTGCAAATATTTATTTTAATTAATCTATTCATCTTGATCACATAACATTTTTGGATTCTTTACAGATTGATTGCACATCATTGGTAGTAATGCCCGATGATGATCTAAAAATCATCATACCAAAATATGGAGATAGAATTGCAATAAAAAACTTTTGTCAGCGAAAAGGGAGTTCCAGAAAGCAAAGCTTAATTGAGAGGTTGAAGTTGAAAATGGGAACAAAAAATGCTAGCAATAGAAGCCATTCTAGTGCTAACAGCAATGTTAGCAAAGGTAGTAAAAAAGCAACACGATTAGTAGAAGTGGGTTGGTTATGTATGAGCCCGATAGATAGTAGGTTACGACAAGTCAGAACAAAAACAGGAGGGGGCACTCGTAAAATATCGGTTGATCAAAATAGCAAATGTCAAGAAGTACTAACAAGAGCAATAGATTTGTTTTTTCCATTGGGAAAGTCATCGAAAGGTCCTCTGACTATCTTTGAAGTAGAACTCCTCGACTATAAAAGTAATAAATTTGACACGGACCTTACGGTGAAAGAAATGTATGATATCTCAGCCTTATCAATTTTACGATTCTATTTGGCCACGATATATAAAGAGGGTGTAGAAACACGTGGAAAAGGAAATGATGAAGATGACGTCATTCCATCAACAATAACAAGCAAAGAGGATCAGGACCAGGCGGATATTGCTGAATCAGGATCTACAATTGAAAATACTAATTGTTCGATAACTTCAGCACCACGCCGGTCTGCACGTTTAATGAATACATCAACCCCTAACGATAGAAAACTTGAATCTGGCCTGGTAGAGTTTCTCACGAATTTTGATGGCAGTAATATTGTAAGTAGATGTCATATTCTCTTCATAGCAAGCAATGGCAACCTGCCTATACTAAATAACTATTTGTTTTCAGGACTCTGATGTGATTTATACCACTGACTACACATACGCAAGTAGCATTGATGACCTAAGGCATGAAGATTTGTTTCCACAATTGGATTTTGATGTTACTACTAACCACTCCAATAACGAAGAACCTAAGAGTAATGATACAACCATTTTGGTTATTCATAGGGGAAAGGTATTGGAAGAATTAATTGAAGCTTTCCAACAAACCTTTTTCAACATCGATGATGTCAAAATTACAATGATTTTGCCAAACGGCCAAACTGAACGTGCTGAAGACATAGGCGGAGTGTTCCGAGATTCGTTGTCTGAATTCTGGGAGAGTTTTTACGACAAGTGTACGGTAGGTACACTTCTAAAGGTTCCATACCTCAGACATGATTACAGAGAAGAGCAGTGGCGCGCCGTGGGTAGGATATTGGTAAAAGGGTATAATAAAGAAAATTATTTTCCTATTAAATTGGCACCTGTTTTTATAAAAAGCTGCCTTCAACAGAATTGTGCCGATGAGGAAATCATCTTAAATTTTCTTCAGTTTATCAGCCAATCTGAAGCTGAAACGGTGAAGGCTGCTATCGATGATTTTGATAAAGTCGACTACGATGATCTCGTAGACTTTTTTTCGAACTATGATGCAAAATGGCTTCCCACAAAAGAGAATATAAAGCGGTTAATCAGAGACGTCGCACATAAAGAAATGATCCAGAAGCCTGCTTACGTTATGAAATGTTTTATCCAAGAATTTATAAATACTAGTCTGAACATTGCCAATTTAGAAAGCATTTATAATGATATTAAACCCACGGCAAAGAACTGCATAAAAAAATTCATTGTGGAAGATGGCGAAATGAATGAAGACAAAAACAAGGTTTTAGGGTTTTTAAAGAAGTTCGTGAGGGAAGGAGACGATAGACTTCGATCCTCTTTAATGCGATTTTGTACAGGTTTAAATTTACCCGTAAATCCAATTACCGTCTCATTTAATGCATTAGATGGACTGGCAAGGACTCCCACAGCTCAAACCTGCACATGCCTTTTAACGTTATCAACAACGTATGAGAATTACGTAACCTTTAGAAGCGAGTTTACCAATCTTTTGGAAGCCAATGTTTGGGTTATGGATGTGGTATAATAGTGTTGAATTGTCAAGTTTAGCTTTTCTTACGTACATGTCAATTTTTTTCTTTTTGTAAAATAAATAAATGTTTTTTCAATGAGCAGAATTAACTCTATGCCTACTTTACATCACCTTCAAGTTGAACTGCTTCAAATTGTCGGTAGGTAGGCAGTAGGATCTGTTTTGTCAATAAAATATCAGACAAGTTAAAAAGTCATTATGCAAATACAAATGCAAATACAAATGGTTTATTAATGTAATAAAACAAAAATTAGCTTGATTTAGAACTTTTGATAATACCCAATTGTGATCATAAATACGCTTGAATTGGTTTGATGTTTTACATTGATGATTGCTGAAGCACAAAGAATATTCATCTCTTGTACTCCATGGACTAAAACAACGTGTTTTGTCTTCCATTTAAAGGACTAAAGTAATACTTTTTATACCAGAAGGAGAAACACGCGACAAGGGACAAGAAGTGATAGAACACACTGAAATGTCAAAGTGGTTACTTTTATATGCACATTTTGGATATTGCACCACATTTTATACTTATTATACCTTTTTCCATATATCTTTTTGAATTTGAGAGGCAGTGGTTTTCCCATAGGTCGTTTTGCAAAGCTTTGAACGATCATTTCTGCGCCGTTAGTTTTGAACGAGAATCTTTACTTAAATGAGACTGACTTATTATTCTACGGTCACAATTTGACATGACAAGGTATTTTGATTTTACAATCAATTTTTTCGCTCCAATATGGCGAATTATGATAAGTTGTCGCCACTATCTTTATAAAGTCACTGTATAGGCTGTACCTCCTACTTGACACTGAAAAGGTTGGTCGAAGATCGGGAAGAATGGAGCACTGCCACGCCACGGACCAATCCGAAGTATTGTCGACTTAAAAGAGAAAGCTGTTCGAAAAATAACAATACTTTACACGTACTATAAACTTTTACTTTTCATGCCACAAATAATGAAACAAAGTATTACAGTATAAGAGTTGTGTAGTTAGCCATAATCTAAGATAGAAAAGTAGCATAAAACAGTGAAGTACATTAGCATTATAACACATTTAACAGCATATCTCTCAAAATGATGTATAAATCTACCGCATCATAGGGATTCTCCGGCAATGCTAACTGATTTTCCGCCATAAGAATTGCTGAAAGTTCGTAAACGTCTGAATCGCATGGCTTTTCATCGATAACAGCGCAAAATTCTCGACAGAGATTTATATGTTCAATACTGACTTTGCATAAATAATCTCTCGATTGGTATATTTCGGGCATGTGATACATTACAAAAGGCCGCCCCCTAGGAGAAACACTATTTCTTGATGAGGAGATACGATGCATATTCCACTCAGTGGCAACAATATCAAGTTCTTTCTAAAAATAAAAATTTATTTAACAAATTACGTTTTCCATATGTCATCTTTACTAACCTGGATTAGACGCAAAAAACAAAACTGTATTAAAGACTTATCAAGATAAGAGCCAGAAAACTGTCCATTATCCTTTAGCTCGTGAAAAAGATTGATCCAAAATTGACTGTACTGTTTTCTAAGGATAGCCCACCATGCTTCAATTCGCTGATTTGCGGGACTTGTTCCATATAAGAAAGGAGGTAAACTACAAAGTGGCTCTGAATGCCATTTGTTTTCTCTTAGATACAGTTGTAATTGTTCGACAACTCCATTCTCAGTTCCTAAGTCGGCCCTAACTGTTTTTGGGCACCCTTCTATTGATAGAACTACATCTATGTAGTATGACGCAATTACTCTAGGGTCATTGCTGTTGTTACCCGCTCTTAACCATATTATGTTTCTCGAAAAACCATCAATGCACCCACTTATGCAGATACCAAATGGTTTCAACTTGTCGTAACAATCCATGTGCCATAAGAAGTTCGGTCCTTTATTTCTATATTGCCTGCGGCGTAATCTTCGACGAGTGCGTATTTCAACACCCTCTGGATCAAGAGTTTGTAAAAGTATCCTTACCATTTGTTGCGTCACAACAAGTCCATTTTGCAGACACTTAAGGTGCATCCACCTATATCCATGTAGTTGTCCATAAGTTTCAAGGTTTCTCTTGATAAAAGTAGCAATTGTGATGACATCCGAAACATTCTTTCTTCTGTACAACCCCATTGCTTTTAGTTTTCTTTGTAATGTACGCTTACTAATAATTTCGTTGTGAATAAGATACAGACAAGACAGAATCTCCATCTGCCGAAATCCCAAAGTAAAATAAAAATTAATTACTTCATCCATTAGACAGGTATAACGGCACTGTCAACTAACACTTCTCACACTCTCACATCAACACTACAGTTGCGATTTTACCAATGCACAGCATATAACTAAAATTTGTAGTTAGTAAGTGTAAATTCACAGTTAACAATTATGAATTTGATCATTCACACTTTGTAACTGTACATTCACAATTATTAGATGTGAATTACAAAATTCATAGATGTTAACTCCGAATTTACAGTTACTAATTGTAAATTTACAGTTGCTAAGTATGAATGATAAAATTCATAGATGTTAACTGTGAATTCACAATTAGTAAATGTGAATAAAGAAAATTTTTTGTCAGTGGCGCTTCTACGCTTTCGTAGAAATGCGAGGAAGCAGTCAAAGGAAACGGAGCGTAATATTTCACTTCCCTAGTAATTAACAAAGGGGATCAATAGCTACTTAATTACTCTTATATTAGTTGTAGGGATCGCGGCGATGGTTAGTTGTGGTCATATAATGTACAGTGCTTCGTTGCCATTTACGTTTGGTTGAACGTCGCCCAATTTAATCTCAAATTTAACTCTCCCTGAATAAACTGGGAAATATAAGGGAAATAACAATGAAATCCAGTAACGAAATATCAATTTATCAATTTTATCCAAAATCAAATCAATAAATGAAATTAAATTTCACTCTCAAGACGAAATATTTCCCGTGAATTCCCCAAGATTACGTTAAACTTCAAATAAAACTCGCAGTTACTTCCCTGCAAAAATTCGCATCGCCCATAACGCCAAGTAGCGACCTCAATTCCAACGTTCAGTCTGAAAAATCTAGAGTAAATCGAAATTCCCAAGTCACATGGGTCGGTATCTAATTAACTGATTAATGCCTGAAGGGCCTTGATCCACTCGTAATTCGCATCAGTACGTTTACAGTTATCAATTATGTAACAACTCTAGTGGCATAGTGCCCCACATACCTCAATCCAATAAGAGGGCTACTCGTAAATCAATAAAGGTAGTGCAACAATTTGCAATATTCAGCAACATTCCTAAATGAATGCCGTACCACGCGGTATACATAATAGCCGTACTCACGTACTCAATAAAAAATCACATAAAACTCCGCCACTCTGAGAAAATTTCAGAAAACCCGTCCGATTCAATTGGAATCAAAAAATACATATTATGTTTAATCGCCGAAGTTATGCTAATTAAATGTTGCATTTACGACCACATGGTTTTTCACTTTTTAAACTGCTGGACACTGCCTTAAAGCGTGCTTGCTTGCCATAGAATTAATGAATTCCGGAAAAGGAAGTTAAAGTACGAAATGGTCACCTGTGCGAAAAAATCCCACCAACAGGTGGCGCCAGTAACGAGAGTTACAATTTAAGTATGCCAGAGAATACCAAACAATAACGTACGGTATGGTGCCCATAAAACAAATGCAAGTGTTTGCGTAAGGCGAAAATAAACTGTTACAATATCCGTTTTTTTAAGGGAGTGATATTTTGGGACCCAGTTTCACCGCAAATAAATGTTCATACTAGTCATGATGCGTGCACTAAACAAAAATGCGACTGTGTTGCGAATTCCATAATAGGTAGTTGAGAAAATGCGCGTCCTCCAATTACGTTTTAAACCTGTATAATTTATTGGCCTCGTTAGTCATTAAAAACTTAACACAAGCTTTTATGATTCCTAAAAATCTGCGTTTGCGAATAAATATCAACATCTGATCGAATATGGACATGAATTGTGTTAAAGTTAAGCTTTTGTAGATGCATTAACATTAATTATCACTGACTAAAATCAAAGAGAATATAACGTAAATGGCGAAAATCACTACTCTTTGCTAAAATTAAGCCTTTGAGAAATTATGAATCCAGTTAACGACAATTATGTTGTAAGTGAAACTAAACTGCGATGAAATGTGCGAGCGTCTAATGTAAATTATCAAAGTGTAAATACCCCTTCGCTTGCCTGTTTTGTATTTAACAATTATTTTTTAATTTTATCACTCTACGAATCTAGATTATAATGGGCCGGAGAAATGTGTACTGGATGGAGTAGTTGGGAAATGTTTACTGCAACTTGCTTGGTCACTGGTTTACCATAAAAGGAAAAGGTTTTTAGCAGTTGAGTGAACCTTTAGTAAAAAAGGTTTTTTTTTATTTTCAGGTTACCTGTCAATCGAAATTTGTAGTTCACGTTTACATTGCACGGATTAATTTTAGTGTCTTAAATTGCAGCGACTCTAGTTTGGTAAGATGAGTAAAATCCGTTCCACCCCATATCTCAACCAGTTTTATAACTATCAATAAAATACAACTGGCAAAGATAGCAAGTACTTTCCCTACGCCTGTATACAGGGCTCGGATATACACATGACGTTTGCTAAGAGGATATTTTATTATTTATTTTATTATTTATCATCTTATTTCATTAGGTCGATAGTATCGATTCTTTAATGTGTATATGTGGGAAATAAATTTAGGTTACTTTGCTTTACTTACTTTACTTATACTTATACTTATGCTTTTGCTTTTCCTTTGCTTTTGCTGATTATTATGGACAATGCGAATTTACTGGAAAACGTGCCGAATTCGTCCTGGACTAAAGTACAACTACACAAAAATGTTGAGTTTCCAAATCATGCATTAAAAGTGAAATTGCTGGAGATTGTTGCAAGGTTTGTTTCCTTAAATTCCATGCAGCATGGTGTATTCGTAGTAGGTAATACTTTTAGTTTCGAGCCTAAAAATTTGTTATGTCAGAAACAAACCTTCAATACGGTATGGTGCTGATAAGGCGGCATTAGAAAATGGGCATACGGTACTATGATTGCTTCCCTACCATTTCGTTTTATATTTCAAACAACACTATAACCGACACATTGGCGAAAAAGGTTAAGCAGATAAAATTATTTAGATATGTGGCAACAAGCCACATTGATGCAGTTACACCTGGAAGCACTGGAACTATTTGTGGCTGTTGAAGTTGGAAAAGTAAAACAAAGACATCAATAAACCACATTAATATATTAAAAGCTCGAATGCGTTTCGACAGCAAGACTGTCATTATTACAAATGATACCCCCAAGCAGCACTATCTGTATGGCTGCCAACATACCATTTGTTGCATCTTTGAATAAGGTATAATAATTAAAGGATTACATGATGCTACGTAAACATACTTAGTGGTGACTTCATAATACACTGATGACGCTGATGATTGAATAACGCCTTGTAAATGTCAATTATAAAATTTTTTGAACTGTTGTAAATGTGGAAAATTCCAAATTCCAAAACATTTTTGAACAATGAATAATTTCCCTAAGGGAGAGGGGGGGCACCTATAAAAATAGGGTTAGACAACAATACAAATGCCGAAAAATTAGGCAAATATTCGAAAAATTGATAGAATTTTTTAAAAAATCCGAAAAAACAAAAAATCAGGATTAGACAAATTAAAAAAAAACTGTCTGTTATTAATAACGTTTGGCGTATTCAATCAGTTCGATCAGGAACGGCATAATTTCATCAATTTTCATGATTTCTGTAGAGGGATATGTATAAAAGGTAATGTTCGCAGACATTCTTTGTGAAAAAAATTATTAAAGTAAACTCAAGAGTAAACCTAATTTGTAAGTTTTTAACAGGAATCCCTAGTTAGTATCCCGTTAAATGAATAGTTTGAAGGGGTGCCGTGTTTCAGTTTTAGATCACAGCCAACCATCAACAAATAGTTATTTACATAAAAGTCCGGAAAATGATACATTACTGGGGAGGCAATATTGAAGTGCGAGGTCTCAGTCAGATAATGACATTTTACTGACGAGTTTTGTATGAAATTTTACCCAAAATCGTTTTCAATACAAAATTTCAATTTTTATATATAACTTTTTTGTGTCTCCCTGCTTCAAAGCTTTGTTTTCTGTAGCCAAATTAGTCCAGAAAGTTATGATTTGCTGGCCTAGGCCGGCAAAAATATCACTAAAAATTGGTTGGTGGAATTGATTTAATTTGCAATGACAGTTCTAAATTTAAATTAAATTGTTAGAATGATAGGCATATTTTTTGTGCAAATTCCATTTTAAGCACTTTATGGCTTGGTAGGTAACATAGTAATACGTATATGTAAATGCGGTAGGTAAGTATACCCTAATCAAGAATTGTAAGTTTCACTTACAAGTTTTCGTTTAGTGCGGTTATGACACTTGTACATGTTTACCGATGGTAAACTTACGGTTTATGGCAAAAACAGAGAGCTAATTGAAAGTATAGGAAATTGAAGTTTACCTACTTCCACACTCGATGCCAGGAATGCCAACAAATGGTTTCGCATGTAAATTAACGCAGTCAAAAAACACAACACTAAACGGATGAAGAGTAACGACACTATATGATTTGTAATTATTATTATTTCTGCCATTGTTAACATTAAACTGTATACATTATTCCATAAATTATACATATATCTACAAGCAAGTATATTTCTCTGAAGATGACAGTTTCCGAAAAGGAGGTGTACGCATATGAAAACGGTTTCTTGTCGATATCTATGCTCATATCTATAATGAAAATTTCCGACATCAGTTACTTCCGTGTAGTAAGACGATAATAATCAAACGACACTGCATACACCAAATTGTAGATTTGCACGGAGCAATCATCGGCCCTCTTGCTGCTCTCCTCGTAATCGACAGCCAACGAGAAGTAGATATCCAAACAAACTTGTTATCATTCTTATAATGTAATGGAATTAATATGATAAATCAATTTGCAAATGAAAACATTGCAACCCAATTCTCAAAATAGGTGTAAGCCGTAAGCACTAGCTGAAATTGAAATACATTTCAAGGTTATGTTTCCCATTGAAATCAACTTACTACTTATTAGTTTTAGCGCAGCTTCTTTTAAATGTTATGAACTTCTTAAGACTGGGCTAAGCGTTTTAGAAATTTGTAAAAATAATTAAATTAACGTAAATGCTTTGTTTATTCATTTAATCACAATTAATGTGGAATAAACACTGGTAAATATCGGTTGTGAATTGACATGCTTGTGCTACCAACCGCCAACTGTCTGTGCTACCAACATAACATCGAAATATTGGAAATTTGAATGCAAGTATGACGGCTTATTATAGGAGGTAGAAATATAAATTTTAAAATGAACGTTGTTCCCTCAAATTTTTTACTTCGACACAAAAAATCTTGTGT